GTGAATGACTGAATGTACTGTAAAGTGTTATGGTCAAGTCTCCGGACTTGACAAAGTTATATATAAGTATAGGCCATTTACTTTTTTTCATTATCTTTTATGAATGAAAAACACTGGAATATAACCCTAAACATGTCAAAAGAAAGCACACCTTCTTTAAAAATAATAGGGTTTAGTATGCTTTAGTGTTCTTTTAAATAGATTTAGATAATAGATTTTGGTCAAAGAATATCCATGTGTTAGATCATACAGGGGTGGGTAGATTAGCCACAAATTATACTCAAGTAAAAGTAAAAAGTAGTCATCCCAGAAATGACTCAAGTAAAAATAAAAAAGGATTCGTTAGAGAGGCTAATTGAGTACTGAGTTGGATGATAACATAATATTTAATGTTTATAAACGATGCTGAAAAACAGACTTTATGTATAAGTTCTGGAATTTTAAAGAATCAAATGCCTGAAGAATAAAGATAAATGTCATGAATATAAAAGAAAAAAACTGTTCTGAAAAAATACTTTAACTGTCTTTGTTCTCTTAACTTAAAAAAATCTTTAGAATGAGAAACACATACATTTCTCATTTTAAACCAATCTTTAGAATGTGAAATGTATATATGTCAGGACAGGGTCATGTAAATCCAGTTATATCCGCAGTAATATCTGCTGATTACTTTATGTGTACCTGATTTTGGAAGAGTTCAAATTACTCACAGAGGACAAAAAGTCAGAGATTTTACTCAAGTAGGATTAGCAATGCTTTACAAAACTAATACTCAAGTAGAAGTAAAAAGTCCAGCACACTAAACCTACTCCTAGAAGTAAATCCTTTTCAAATTGTTACTCAAGTTAATGTAACTGAGTAAATGTAACAAATTACTACCCATCTCTGATCATATACATTTACAAAACATGCAGCAGCTTGTCATTATTAATTAAATGATGCAAAACTAGTAGATCTCCCTTAAACTTGCAAAAACCACCTTCAGAAGCAATGACTGCAAAAATCTACTGTATACGGATCCCACACCCTGTCTGAGTGACTTTCCATCACATCCATCCCTTAGTGTATTCGGGTTTGAAGACAAAACTAATTCGGTTAAGGTTCGGGCTTTGACTAATGCTTAGCAATTTCCTTCTTAGCCTTTCTGCTATAGAATTCCTGCTTGAGTTGGACTGACCCTGACCATGACCATGACAGAGTTTCTGCAAAGTTACAGCAGTCCGATAGATGAGCTTAGTTTCTTCTGGAGTTTCTTAGTAAACACAGTTGATGGTCAACCCAATTGCAGTAAGGAAGGCTGCCAAACAAGTCCAGCTAATAATCTCTACACTGACATGCTTCACACTTGGAACTAGAAGTTTGTTCTGAAATGTGGAGTATGTTTAAGGCTTATCCTAGCATTTGGCATTACTACCAAACATCTTAATAAGGATTTTAACAGCAGTCTTAGTTTGTTTTCCTCCTGTATTTTCACTCTTTTAGCTTTGAATAATTTTACAACCCCAATTCATCCATCTTCTCCAGCTTATTGTGCCTGGGCAGCAGGTGCCTATTTCCAGCCAGTTCTTACAGGGCAACACATACTTTTAACATAAGTCATGTTTTTGGACTTTGAGAGGAAGCTGAAGTATCCAGAGGGAACTTAAACATGCATTGTGAGAACATGTAAACTCCATGCAGAAAGACCCTTGCTGCAAGGCAACATACTGCACCACCATGCAGCCCATAGCCCAACCCAATAAAATCATGTTCTTCTGAAAGCCCTGGGCTTTAAAGGCTGAGGCTTTGTATTACTTGGAATCCCGACTATTCTGTCAAGTTCCTTTTCCATTACTCCGAAAGCCCTGGGACAAATCGACATAGCGACGTTGTGTGTGGATGTGTGTGCGAGTTTGTGTGTGTTGGCTGTAACAAAACAAAATGTCGGTTTAAAGTTGGCGTAATGGGCAGACTTTCCACCAATCATTTCCCATTGAAACCCCGCCCCCTCTACAATCCTGACTAAGCAGAACAAAGTACTGATTTGCTAGAGGAACCAAAGCCCCGTGAAAGGAAAGCATGGGTAAAAGCAAATTAGTCATGAAATTCTGCATGGAAAAGCAAAGCGCCATTTGCAAATATTGGGTTTTCTCAAAAGCCCCAAGCTTTTGAAAGGCTGTGGAAAATGGGCTGTTTATATGATTATATCTTAAAGCCTAAATTTGAAAAGCTGTAAATGTTTTTAAATTTTAACTGTGTACTTGCTACCTGCGAACTCAACATATGCACATATGCTATAAGTGTACATTAGTATGATATTAATCAGTCATATTTTTACATGTGGCATAGCGAGAGATGGCAAAAGTACTCACTTTCCGTACTTGAGTAAAAGTACAGATACTTGTGTTAAAAAATACTCTGGTAAAAGTGGAAGTACTGATTAAACTTCTTTACTGAAGTAAAAGTAACAAAGTACAGGCTTGTAAATGTACTTAAAGTATAAAAGTAAAAGTAGAAACCACTTTTTTCATGCCGTTGCCTACATTTTAAATGGATGTCTGCCAATAGGACTAGATCTCCGTTGTGTTCATTTTCAATCATCTCGTCGTCCATACTACTATGCTAACGCCACCGCCACCAAGCTGCAATGATTTGCCGCGAATGAATACCGCCGAATCTGTCGATTCATCTTGTAGTGGTGCGTCAAATGCAACGTAGATTCCCATCCAATTAGATTGAATTTGGTATTGATGACGTGAAAAATAATAACGGTAACTCCATTGAAATGATTCAAAACTAAAGTAACAAGCCAGTTTATTAAAATGTAAGGAGTAGAAAGTACAGATATTTGTGTAAAAATGTAAGGAGTAGAAGTAAAAAGTCGCCATAAAAATAAAAAAGTAAAAATATCAGAAAAATCTACTTGAGTACAGTAACTAAGTATTTGTACATCTCTGGGCATAGCCATAAACATGTATAGTAGATGTGTATCTGTTTGACCATGTACCAAACTTACAGCATTGGTATCATCATAATCTAGATTACTATGTACAGCACCACTCCAAAAGTATGATATAAAAAGGAAACATGAATAAAGCTAGAAGAAAATGGCAGTCTATCAATGTGAATACTAAGTCATTAATTACTTTTAAAGCTTTCATTTAGCCTGCTCCCTTCCTCATCAGGGTTGTCTTATTTGTTTTACTCACATTATCTAATGGTGCTACCGGTAGGAAGGGGTTCAATCAGCTTTTGCTAGAAGATGCAAAAGCTGATTGAACACAGATGTTTGCCACAAGTGAAAAAAAAGTCAGTACTAACATTGACAAAGGTTGAAGTATCCATGCATGACAAGGTGTTAAATATTAAGAGGCAAGGTGTCATCTGCCATCTTGTTATTTATCTCTGCTTGTGAGCTAGATGTGAAAATGCTGCCAGGTTTAACCACATGCTGCGATTGTGAAGAGAGTGCTGCTATATTTGTCCTTTTTGCCTTGCTCAGAATTTCAACAATGCTATTAGGGTAAAGTGTGAGTGTAGGGAAATGATTATTACCCTATACGATGATTCAAGTTGGTAAAAATCAGCCAACCTGAATCACTCAGGAACCCAGCAGAGAATAGGTGGTTAGTAAACGGAATGCTGTTCAGCCTTTGTTAAGATTAACCACTCTTAATATAAAACAAATGCAGTGGTGTTAAATGATCAGCATTTCACCTCTGGAAAGAAAAAAATTAGTTAGTTTTTTGATCTTTTTTTCCAAATTTGAATCTTAAATTAGGTTAAATACAGTAAGGCCATGAATATTCTTGTATTTAAACACTTGTTGACGTGACCTTATCAGGATAGCCACATATTTTTGTTTCAACCCTTATTGAAATAAAGATGTCTTAACATGATTAAGAGCAGCTTGAAATATGTTTGCATGTTGGTTTGGGGTACAAACAAATGAAATCATCAAAAACTCAAATTGTTACGCTAAAAAAATGCTTTCCCTCTCTTTCGCCAGAGCTGTGACCTCTGTTGATCTCTGCTTTGAAAAGCTTGGGCATCTCCAATGTTTAGGAAAACTTTGTCTGTCACAGGCTGTGGCTCTGTGCTGGATATCTCTAAGTTACTTATGTAGACTCAGAGAGAACTTTAGCAAATTTCAGTCTGTTTTGAAGCATCCTGGTTATGGAAATAATCTGGAAACCTATTAACTTAAGCAGGGGTTGAAAAAGTAACTCCATTTAGTTCCATTAGGAGATCCTTCCCAATTTTGGCCACAATAGGAGCATCCACAGGAAAAGAGAAAAGGGGGGGGTCACATGTCCCTGTGTTTCTATGAGTTTTTTGCAGCAGTTCTAACATGGCTTGTGGCATAACACTCTCTTGGTAAGTAATTTCACTTTGAAATCTCTTAGAATGCTTCATTCAAGTGTAACATGCCTTATCAATTATATCGCTTATCACTATCACATATATTTGCGGGGGCAGCAAACTTCCGTCTCCCTAGACACCTCATTCAGCTCCTGCTCTAAGAAAGGCAGAGACATTCTGCCTCCAGAGTATCGTAGGCTGTGTCCTTGGCTCCCACCAAATAGGTGACTAGACCCCTTTAGTTTTGATTACCAGGATTCCTTTTACTAAACAAAGTGGTGCTTTGGCATGCTTGCATAAATTATTATAAATTTCATTTATTTGGTTGTTTAGGTTATCTGTCTCTATGCGTTATCATATATTGTTTTAAATTTCGGACCCTTTAGCCGGATTGGAATAATAATAAACTTTATTAAAAAGAAAACTGTGTCAGGTGCTTCATATGTCCCATGTGAGTCTGTCAGTTGCGTGCCAAAGAGATGAGCTCATGCTGTATATTGTCACTGTCTGCCAAGGGAAACATGAAGACATCGTCCCGTCATGAACTTGAGCTCCGTCACGGTTCACTGCTCGGTTCATGCGCTCCTGGCACTGTGTGGTACAGCGCTCCATTCTCCCATTTATTGTCACATTACATATTTGTTCTCCTGTATTTACAGACCATTCACGGAGCAGATCTATCTGCAGAGAAATCAGCGGTGCAAACATGAATGATCGCATCCCTTTCCTACTCTCGGTGTGGCTGAGGATCCCCCCCGCCTGGCCACGTGGAAAGACAGACACCAGCTTAATCATTAATTGACTGTTTTGGGTGGAAACAAAGGAAAATGTCTGCATATGCTGCTCATTTATTCAAACAAATCGGGAGGCGTAAAGCCATTTTCCTCGTGTAATTCTTCAACACCTGACTGAAACATGGTCATAACATCAGATATGGATTTACATTTTTTGTTCTGTTCTAAATCCTTCAACAGTTTAGGGAATAACATTTATCATCTCGTGAAAGAATTCATATTCCCTCTACATTTTTACATTTTGGCATGTTCGATGATAAACTTCTTTGTTTTTTGGGGATTTTGTTCAATAGACAATGCAAAATGTCACACGACTGGAAAGTTGAACATGATTTCCAGCATTGTTTTACAAATAAAATCTGAAAAATGTGTTTCTATATTTTGAATTGATGATACATTGAACTGCATTTTCCATAATTAAAATTAAAACATCAAAGCTAGCTTTCTCAATGACCTGCCTGATGTCTTTGTTGGTCTTCATGATGCTGTTTATTCACTAATGTTCTCTACAAACCTCTGGGTCAGGCATCCCCAAAGTCGGTCCTCGAGGGCCACTGTCCAGCAGGTTCTAGAGGTTTCCCTGCTTTAGCACAGCTGATTATGATGATTGCAGTTGAGCAAAAGCCTGATAATCAGCTTTCAATTAAAATCAGCTGTGCTGGAGCAAGGAAACCTCTAAAACCTGCAGGACAGCGGCCCTCGAGGACCGACTTTGGGGATGCCTGCTCTCCGTCCTTCACAGAACATCTGGATTCATCCTCATTGGACTCCATTACTGATAAGTTATAGTCAGGTTGCGATAGCTTTTACTTACAGTCAGCAACGTAAACAATATTAAGTTTAAATCCTGGCCAGAAGTTGTGATTGAGGAAACTTTGAAAAGCATCTATATTTTTCCCTCCATTTTTCAGTTATAAACTACTTCATTTTGGTTTGTCACATCCAATCCTATTGAAGTACCTCATTGTTTTCTATTGGGCTATAAACAAATTAGCAAGGCACTTTAAGGTCTGTGAAAATGCGAAGGCTGATTATGTGGAGGAGGCAGAGTAAAGACAATTGTTACTCTGAGATGTGAAAGTCTTATAATTGAAGTTCATCATGTTTGATAAATGAACAAAACTGAGTGGAATCTAAAAAACCTGAACCTGTGTATGAGGCTGACAGCTGAAGGTTGGTGTAGAAAAAAATGCACTGAGGTGAACTAAGTCTGATTTGAATGTTTTTTTTTATGATTTTCTGTAATCATTGTTAAGAGTTTTATTGTATGTTATGCTGAAAAGCATGAGAATAAACATCTTTGTTCATGTGCAGGGTTGGTCTTTATGGTTCATTTGAGCGACCAGCTCAATTACCTAATAATGTAAAGACTCCACAGACCTGAGCGGTTTGAAGGCCAAAACTTTACAGAAAAAAAAGACGGATTAAACCAGCCCAAATCTTTACCTCTTTTCTTTAAAGCCCAGTGCAATACATTTTGTTTTCAGCTTTACTGAGATTCTCAACAAATACAAACGGTTAAAGTTTCTGATCAAATGTATCAAAAATTATTTGCGTCCACAGTGCCTCTGGAGTTTTTACACCCCTGATAAAGATGGGTATAAAATCCTCCCTTCATGTGGTGCCAATATAAACGTTGGCCTTAATTCTGCTTTATTTGCCTAAATTTAAAATAAAAAGTTTAATGCTTTTCAATCACTGCTCTGATTGAAAATGCTGGCTAGTTTAGAATAGCTTAGGGTTGTCTCTGTGAAGTGCCTTGATATGATGTGTTGTGAATTGATGCAACATAAATAAACTGAATTGAACTGAATACTATTTTCTTGTAACAATTTCCTGATATTTGATGCTAAACACTTACCTTAGTTGAATGGCATGATCTCCCCTCTCCTGTCCATTTTTATAAGTGGCTAAGAGTGATAGGCCTCTAAGTTTCTATATACTAATATTCAGTTAATTGCTCGTTAAAATTTACACATTAATATTAATTTGGAAATGTTGTGTATCAAAATAAAAAAGATTCAGTAATATATATATATATATATATATATATATATATATATAAGAGGGTGGTTTGTGGTATGATTATTATTCTGCTGGTCATCTGGCGAAAGCCAATCATTTGTTAGGAAAGTATTAATAAACATCTTTATCCATTATGAGTTGTGCATTTCTAAACTGTTAGTTTCAGGTTACTACGCTCCAGCATAGACTATTTAAAGACTTTATACAGATCTTCATCAAAAGTTATCCGAATAATAAATGCGATGAAAGCCACATATTTTAAAAGTTGGAAAATGATTTTAAAAATGATTTTAAAACTTAGACATGATTTTAAATTCTGTGTTAAAGGCCAACCTGTTTGTTTATTAAGGTATCTGGGGTTTTGCTATTTTTCAGGTGTGAGTGAGCTTCCCATCACAGAAAGGATCTTTACCGATGGCTTGGCTGACGCTTGATGATGCACACCTGAGAACATGTCTCAATAAAGGTGGCTAGCATGAATATAAGGAGCAGAGTGATCATCACTCTTCGTCAGATGATAAACCCTAATGAAATTCCAGCCAACAACCTAAACTAGGAATATCTTTCTTGTTGAAATTCACTGGTTCTCTGTGTGATTTTGCACGCAGGTCAAAAGCTACAAACCAACATGACATTTTGTTCCTGTGATAAGAACTTTACAAAATGGTCAAGTTAACAAGAGTAAATTCATTGCCCTTCACTTGGATATGATACAGATCAATGTTTTCTTTCCTAACTGTTTTGGAATTACTGACTGTAAGTACTAATGGCTCTGATGGTGTCTTTCTTCTTTTTTTTTTTTTTGGTAAAATGTTCATTTGATTTATGTTTATCTGACCATGTTAATTGTTATGCCCCCACTAAATAAAAAAAGTAAGAATTTAATTTATCTAGAGACTATTAATAACAAGAGGTGAAAAGCAGCTCCAGACGAGCTGAGCATGTGATGACGTCACAACTACGCTTCTGTTCCAATTGACCCATATTTATGCTGCGTGCTCCCATTCTCCCCAAGTCCATAATTTCCTGTTTTCTTGTCAAGAACATACTTGGAGAGAACACAATCCGTACTCACGTTCTTGTGAATTGAGAAAGCCTTTGTTTTCTAGACTTGAGATATTAAAAAGCTAAATTTTTTGATAAATGTTTGCATAGGAAAAGTCTGTATGAGAAGTAGTAAAACGGGGGCTTATTTTCTTAGTATAATATTATGATTATAAATCTTTACACAAATATGCAAGACAACAAAGTGAAAGTAAAATGAGGTGAAACTATTAAAGGAAAATCTTTACGAGTGTATTTAGGCCAAGTCATGTCCACTTATTGCTTCAATTGTTTTTGGAAAACATGGTATTAAGTAAGCAGGGCCTTTATAACACATTCGTATACCCTATTATACTTTGTTTTTATGACACAATGTTGTAAAGGGGAAAGGGAAAGAATGCAAGTTTTGACAAAGAGCCCTACAGCGACTAACTAATCTGTAAACAGGACAACCATTAACTGTGCATCCTCCTCAAAATCTGGCATTTACAGAAAAATAGCAGAAAGACAGCTATTGCTGAGGGAAAGCCATAAGACCCAGCAGTTTACCACAAGCTGTTTAGTGGGCTCGGCAAACATGTGGAACAAGGTGCTCTTGGCCAAATTACTCAATAAACAGTGTGTGGCAAATGAAAACTAACACTGCACTTCTGCATGAAAACAATGCAGTGTAACCTAGATGAGGATATCAAGCTGAGGGAATGTTTTCTTATTGAGTATGGCTGGCAATAATTAAGGTATAGGACACTGTCATGGACGAACACCCTTTAGAAGGATGATATATACTTTGAACTGGTGCAGAGGTAATGGCCCAGTCAAAGTCCTGCTTTAAATACACCTGCAGATGCTTTCCATTCAAAAATGCATTGATTTGAGATTGTTGAAGCATGGTTGAGAAGCAATGTCTGACTTTCTTTTTTTAATTTTCATATAATTATTTTATTATTACCTTTGTCAGATTTAACTTATTTGACCTTTGAGTTTGTTTTTGTTATTTCAAAATGAGGAATAGCAATAATTTTGACCATTCTCCTGTAAATGCACTACACACAAAGTGCAGCAAACATAGACATCAGTCTTTTTCGATTAAATGTATAAAGTCCAATAACAAATGCAAAATACATGTAATCTAAGTGCAGCACTTAAGTACAAAAGGCTTCTCTATGAGGAAGTTATTGAGTTTCCTGAGCACACAAACCTCAGACAGACAGACGGTGGACAGGTGTTCTGAGGTCAGATGAGTGCATCTTCAGTCAGCTCTAAGGCTAATTAATACTAACTATGCTGTAGATGTATAAAAACATGTTGCTGGTCATGTTAGGTGTTTCTATTGTGTTGTGATCATAGCATATATGTCAACCTTGTGAAAGTCATTCATGGAACTGCTTTCTTTCAGCACTTGCTTGGGAAGTGCCAATCAAGATTGTTGCAAGACAATTCAGTGCCAATTTACAACACGTCATTACAAGGCACTTTATGAAGTGTTCTATCTAGGGGAGCCCAACAGATTGCATTAAGTCATTGATTTTGCAGAACTCACTCTTCCTGGATGCGCATGTAGTCTTAAGTAGACATTGGCTTGCATTGTGTCTTAGATTCTACAGCAATCTCTCACAATGAGCATAAAAGCGGTGTTATTATTTTGAAAGGCTCATTGTCAGCAACCTTCTGCCTCAACAAAGAAGACTGAAGCAGACAGAAAAAAAGGAACATAGACGTATTGATCCAATCATACTTTCGATATTAACATGTAACAATGGTAAACTAGCTCAATGAGCAGTTCTGTCTGGGAAAGAAATTGTTAATAATAGATATACAAGGATATACAAGATTTCACATCAGGCTCCAGTCTCCCCCAATCCTCTTTCACAACCATTTATCCCTTTTCTCATATAAATGCACTTTAGTGCTTTCCGTGTACCCCTTTTTCCCTTTTCTGGAAAATGTGTTTAAACCCGGGAACAATCAGCTTTTAGCTTTTAATTGCTTTGGCTCAAATCGGCAAGCTGTAGGAATACCAGACCCCGGTTGACTCGTTAATTTATGTCACACAACTGAGAGCAACCTACAGATGTCATCACATCACAACATTTGCATCTGATCTAACAAGCCGAAACAAATCTGTTTACATGAGATAAATATGGCGCAGGACTGGTAAGCGGGATTAGGACAGATATAAAGAGCAAAAACATGCACACTTACTGCACCCCGGCTTCCTTACATTTTGCTCTCCATTGATTACTTTCCTGATTCTATCGCACTGGTGACAGTAGCAATGCTAACCTTGTGTGATGGGGTCACCAGACACACATGCAGCTTTCCAGTGAGCGGTAAGACCCCACTTTTTTGCCAATGGGGACGGAGCCAAATGCTAATTGTTAGCGGGTCCACCCATGTTAGAAAAGCCCAGGTAAACCTGCTATTCTTAGTGGGAAAGAGACTGAAGAAGAATTCCACCACCTCCAGAGCTGAAATTTTAGCTCAAG